GGTTCACGGTTATTGAAACAAAGGATATAAGACTCAAAGTTTGTTTTTAACCCACCCCTTCTTCGTGATGATCTCCAGTCCTACGTTCATTTAAATTGACACATGCATTTGTCTTCTAAGAGAGCTCGAAAGTGTGACAGTGAAGATGAAGATTTAAGATTCTCTTGAAATGGCAATCATCTTATTTTTCTTTTATCATGTTAGTGACCCTTTGATTTTTTGATATGGTGGTCACTGAATCTTGTTTTGCTTTGCTTGAGGATTTGAGGACCTCTTTTGATTGATTTTTATTTTGGTCCCTAATTTTTATCTGGACTTATTTTATTTTTCAAGTCCACCGGGATTGCCCCGATTTTTTCCTAAGTCGCCTCTTTGGGTGTTTGACTTAGCGGAATTTTTCTTTAGATTTTTCTTTGTTTTGGAAAGACTTGTGACTGCCAAGTCATTGGTCATTGAAGAAAAAATGCCATAACTTTTGAATTCTGCATGGTTCCTTCGACACGTCAGGATGTGTGCGAAGAATAACATATGACTAATCCTCAAATGGGATGTTTCATCTTGGAATTCAAATGTGCAGTCAGATTAACTAAACACTACCCATGCCCCATGTTAAGCGTAAGGGTTCAGAAATTCGAAGGAAACTCCTACTTTTAGGCTTGAAGTGGTTAACTAGGGACTAACTCCTTATCTCTTTAGTGTTTGGGGATTTGAAACAATACATATACATCATCACCAGAATCTTATATGAAAGCATACCATTAGCAGTTATGGGTATTTAATTTTAACCATCCTCCCTCCAATCTTTACTAAGACAACAGTTTGATGGACGGGAGGTATATGGATATAATTTTTATATTTTGATACAAGTGAAGAAAAATGAGCGAACGCGAAATGATTTATTCAGAAAATGCATGATCACTTCATTAATATTACCATTCGAAACAACAATGTTTAAAAACAAGTATCATTTAACAGGAAATAAATTACAAATGCAAATGATAAAAATTGTCCAAGGATTGCCAGTGTTGGAGGATGTCTTCCTATCTGAACCGCTAGCATTAGAAGATGCTCCTTGAAGTCTTCAAACTCATTCAGGTGTGTAGTTAACACGCACAACCATGCTTCCTTTTAGAAAGGATATGTACTTCTTGTCAATCAACTGTTGCATGTTATCTGGAAAGCTTTGCAGTTTTTCGTTGAGTGCCCCCCCATCGATCCAACATGATATCTACATTGCACATCAGGATCGTACCCCGGCGGATATAGTTTTGGAAACAGTTTGAGTGACTTGGGCTCTACCTGCAAGTTTCGAATCAGATACGGTAGAAGCTGACCATATGACATAAGAGTTAGATCAAGAGGAGCATTTCTTCTTTCCAAATTGTTTTGGGGCCTATGCTGGTTCTGACGTTGATTCTGATATCCTCGGCCATGGGCTTGTTGATTTGCATGAGAAGTGGTCCAAGTTTTCTGGCACGATGTTCTAGGCATTGTTAGCTACCTAAAAGGATAAGATGGCACTGAAAATGGTGACAACTGAGAAGATGAGGAACTAAAAGGTCTTTCTGGTGCACCATGAGAATATTCGACATTTTCTATGACTGTATTGGTTTCATCATCTTCTTCATCTTGGGAATCGCTGAGGGATTCAGTTTCACTAGGTTGGCTGCTTGAGGCGCCTTGGGATATGAGAAATCAGAGCGTCCGTAGTTTGGAGGACTATGGAGAAAAGGTTTATATAGAAAAATAAAGGTAGCTCGCCAGGATCTCGCAATCCTGTGCCTACATACCCTTATAATGCAATGAGGAAGTCAGAGCTCCATAGTTCGGAGGACTACAGGGAAAAAGTTTAGATAGAAAAAAGAAAAGGTAGCTCGCCAGGATCCCGCAATCATGTGCGTACATACCTTTATAGTGCAATGAGGAAGTCAGAGCTCCTTAGTTCGGGAGACTATTGTTGGTTGGTTTATGTTTTTTAATGAGCAAGTGTTTAGATCGCATTCTAACTGCTAAACATTGTCTTATTTGCTGACGAGAGGAGGCTGAAACACTAGTTTATATGCACAATAGAAGGGACTAAATAATGTTCTTTGAGAAAAAATGTTTGAGTTGTGGATCGCACGGGGGCGAGAAATTAGTGTCTTGAGAGGTTTCAATCACACGGGGGCGAGAAAAGACAAGTTTGATGTGTTAATGTTGATTTTAGGGTTTTGAGAGGAGATTGTTTTTTATTTGGATTGCGCTAAAAACTTTGGGTAGAGGTGAATATTTCAAATCACCAAGCCAAATGTCTTGTGTCCAAAATACTCAGAGTGAAGGTAGGAAAGCTCCAGTCTCACTCCTTCTCCAATACTTAAGGCTCGTGGCTTGCAATCCTAATCTCCTTTTTATTGTGTTTTTGGAGTTTATTCGAGAAAATGTCACTTGACGTTGGATCAAGAGTTTTATTGTGAGATGATTATGAAAAGGGTTTTGAGATGGAAATGGGAATGGTTGATGGTGACGCATGAAGCGGTCGACTTACAAGATGGGGGTATGAATTGATATATGGATCAAAAGTGCTTTGGATTTGGTTGATGGTGATGCACAGGGCAATAGACTTACAAGGGTTAGGAGAGGAAAGCACATGACGTTAGATCAAGAGTGCAAGAAAGAGGTGAGGTCGGTCCTAGCTCTTAGGGAGTAACTAACAAACACAAGCATGGAAGAGCGTGAAAGTAAAGAAAGTACAACAAAATGGGGAGAAGGATACATGAAAAATACAGGATAAGTAGATGCGAGAAATAAAGGGTCTCGTTGTCAGGTAGCCCAAAAAAAAGTCGTGTGTATGCACAATGTCCTAATCTAAGACAGTGAAAGTAAAGAATCCAGCTCCAAGCCTCCTTTTGATAGGGTTGAGTACAAGGTCCAAAACTTCATGCAAGGGATAATAACCATAGTCCATAGTCAATGTCTTTTAGGGTTTAGTCATTTTTGTCATGTTTTGTGTTTTTTCATATGAAGAATCAAAGAAGAAGCAGATGACATAATAATAAAGACATGAATAATAAATGAGTAGTGAAGTATAAAGGAGCTAAAAGCAAATGGCGGAAAGTAAATAGCGAGAAAATAAAGAGCGAAAAGTAAAGTTAGAATTAGTTGTTAATGGTTATTAATCAGATGATCACTTTTTCGAATTGGGACTAATTTAGCGATATGTTAAGCAATCGTAGCATAATCTGTATAGATATTATGGGAGGCTGATCAATAACAATGTTTGTGTTAAAATATGCTAGAGAAATGATATGTAAATTATTCTCCTAAAGTTATGCGACATAAAAAGAAAAAGAGAGAACGATCTCATCTATAATAAAGACTCTCAAACAATCAACCAAGGGCAACCTATCAACGCCTCAAAGTATCAAGAATGATCCAATGATCATTCATCAACAAGTTTGAAGCATTGAAGGTTTAATCAACCTTGCAACCATTTCTCTATGATAATCTTATATATCATCAACCAAAAATCAAAATGAAAATAAAATCCAAAAGAAACAAAATAATAATAAAAAGAGAATCAAAAAATGATTATCAAAATAAAAATCCAAAGATAACAACAGAAATCAAAGAATTAAAGGATCAAGAAAGAAAGAAGAAAAAAAATGAAAATGATTTTAAAGTATATAAAAAATAAAAATAATGGAAATTAGAAAAACAATTAAGAATTGAAAGAAGAGAGGAGAGTGTAGGCTCATGGTGAAGTGTGAAGAAATCAAAATATCACGGGCTTAGAAAGCCCAATCAACAAACCAAGGATTTGTTTTTTTTAAAAAAGCTACCAGACTCAGATCTAAAAAAGAAATAGCATGACCATTCTTCACATGCCTCATCTTCCTCTTTTTCCCTTTTTTAAAATGCCGCTCTCTCGGATCTCTCTTCTATGCTCGTGCTTCGTGTCTTTTGAATCTCTCTATCAATCTCGCATGCGAACCTTTCCATTTATGTTTCTCTCTTAGTATGTTTCTCTCTCAAATCTCTCTATCAATCTCGTGACGCCGAATGAAAATGGTTTGTTATTTGTGTTGTTTGCGTAGAGTAAGTGATGAGAAGTGATGTTTTTTTCTAAGATGTTGGAGAAGGTTTGTTCTATGCTTGATTGGATTGAAGTAAGTTGTTAAATGAGGTTGAAGGTGGTAATGAAATCTCAGATTTAAGGTTGGGAAGAAGGAGAGCTCGTGATGAATTTGTAGTGAATCAAGAACGCGATGTCCGACATTTGTATGACATCCATACGACATGTGTGGAAATAGTCAGATAAGTGTTGGAAATATCAAACAAATGTCGTCAAAAATGGTTTTTTTATACCCTACTTGTTGAGTCGGTATCTGACACTCGTATGACACTCATACAACATATGTCACACAATTCAGACAAATTTTTCAAAAAAGAAATTGTTTTTCTTTTTGCTTCATCGTACCTTATACATTTTTTAACTAAATTTCGTACACATTTTAAAGGGTTAAACATGTATTGAAACAATAATATCAATGAAGGTTTAAAAGTATTAATTTTGATTAGAATATTTTTAATTCTTTTAATGATAGAGAGGGATAAACGAAACTCAAATATTATCTTATACATAACAGTGTCGATGTCTAATAATTTTACGTTATCACTGTTGAAGTGTCGTATCAGAGTGTGAGATTCATAAACCATAAAGCTACTACTAGAGAAATATTGCTTTAAAGGAAATAAGTGAATTCGTATGCATGGAGCAAAAGTACAAACAATTAAGTCTTGCAGCTATTCAATTATGTGAAATTGGCAAGAGTTTAACATAAAGTAATGCAACAAAATAAAATTTGCCTAATTTGCAAAAAGAAAATGCATATTGGCAACTAAAAAAATAAAATAGCAAAAGCAATTAAGAATATAAAATTCTACGTGGCTTCATAATAAGGATTTGATAAATTAATATCTCCCTCATATTTATTCTGTTTGTGCCAATTACATATTTAAATTTACTTGTTCTTGAAAAGTTCCAAACAATGTTTTTGGTCCAAGTTCCTACTCCAGAATTTGCTATAGTATTCTGCATATGTAAATCCTCTGTATATGGCTCCAGATTCATTTTCTGTGAGTGACTTTGCCGGACATATTAACGCCTCATTATCTGGGCAGAGAAATGAAGCTACTGAAAGCCTTGGCTTCTCAACATTCACAATAGCCCTGTGCCAAACACTCTTATAAAGTCCATTACTTAAAGCCTGCAATCATCAATTGTACCATAAAAATGTTAAGACTCTATGTAGCACTGACAACTCTTTCAGTGTCGTGTCAGTGTTGGTGTTATGTTTTTGATGTTAGTGTGTAAAAACTACATAAACCTATAGGAAATATATTTTGTGCCAGCATGAGTTGGAATGAGTAGATACATACCTGAAGTTGATCGCCTATGTTAATAACAAAGGCATCAGGGTGAGGATTAACAGCGAGCCATTTGCCGTCTTTAAGAACTTGTAGGCCGGCAACATGAAGGTCTTGAAGTAGAATTGTAAGAGCATTTGGATCAGTATGCCCGGGTAATCCATAGGTAAGTTCTGGTTGTGGGCATGGTGGATAGTAATTCACTGCCATGTGTTGTCCTTGTTCCCCCAAAACATTCCTTAAATAGTCTTTTTCTAAGCCCAAACTCTCTGATATGTATTCTTCTATTCTAAATCCCAATTCCCTAACTTCTTTGCAATAATTTGCCACAGTTTCTCTGCCATTGCCATAGAAATTTAATAACTATCATCAAATAATTCAAAGTTATGTCATCCCTTACATGTTTCTACTTAGCATCCAAACATTAAGGCTACATATATTAATTTGTTTTTCTTGATTAGTACTATAGTATAAACTATCTTAGTAAATAAAATTACCCCATTTTTTTTACGTGTATCTTTAAAAAACAATTTCTCTTTCTATTTAATGATTTATCTAATATTTAGACTTTAACGACTTTATTAAACCTATAAAGAGAGATAGTTCATGCCAAATTCTATTTAGTGATTTATCATAATATTTAAACTTTAACAACTTTATTGAGCCTATAAAGAGAAATAGTCCATGTCAAAATGGGTGAAAGGCAAGATTGTCTGGCGGGTGCGCTCCAGGTAGCCCAACTCAAATCTATGCTCGTATTTCTTGGCTGATTTTTTAAGTGTTTATGAAAAATCGAGTTAGGTCATAGTAGTCCAGGAGAGAAATTATCACTCTAAGATTTGAAGAAAAATCGATCTTCGTCTACTCCAACGTTCTTGTAAAAAAAAGTAAAAAAAAAAAGTTGTTTCTCTGCCTATTGTTCGGTCCAAAAAAAACTAACAATAAATATTCCAACCTTAAAATTTAGATATTTCATTTATTAATTTCGACAAAACTTATGCCTCTTGGAAATCCCTGTTATTGCATTTTACTAGTACAATATTGTACTACAAAAGTGTAATACGTCTCAGACTTTTTAAACCGTAAAGGGTAACAGAAAGATTCCTGGCACACGACTTCGCGGACAATAACAACACTAGGACATTAATTAATATAGTACTACTAAAATTGTGCTTACGTCAACACGGAAATACATAGTGACGTCATCGCCATTCTTTTTTTTAATGGACTAAATTAATGCTAGATCTCTTAAAACAATATACTACTACTCCTCTCATAAAATAATGAAAATTTAGTTGACACTATATATATCACAAACATAAGAGCTAGTCAGCGACACGTGTACAAAGAAGATGAATGGGTAAGAAAGAACTTACTTGAATGAAACAGGATTAGAAGGCCATTCAGACACATATTTCTCCAAAGGATAGCAATGAAGTCTAAGATAATCTCTCCAATTATGAACTTCCTCTTTCGTCACATTAAAACTTGTCGATAATCTCATTGTCTTTGAAGGATCGTCTGAATACAATTTCATCTTCTCCTCCACTGGCAAGTTGAAAAATTCATATGCCACTTCTGTCGTTCTTTTCAATGCTTCTAGACCCACCCCATGATTAATCACCTGTTCAATTAATTAACAATATAATTAACCTCCCTAAACTCATAAATTTCAACTCAGTGACTAAGCATTCACATTATAATGATAATAATACAAAAATAGACAAACAGGCTCGTTACATTAATAGTAATGAAATTTGATATTTTCCATGTGTTTATAATAATAAAAAATATTAAAAAAATTTGTTGAAATATGAGGTCTGCACCTGGAAGAAGCCATAGGAGCTACATGCTTCACCGATTTGCTGAACAATCTGTGTTCTATTTTGAGAGCCCAAGTCGATGATAGGAACATTCTGGAACTCCGAGACTTCGGAGAGACACGGTCTGTCGGATTCGGGTCGTATGTAACTTTCGGGTAATTTTGAATAACGGATTCCGGAAGAAAGAACCTTAGTGTCCATTCTTATATACTATACTTATTAATCTAATGATAAGGTTTGGAAAATACAAGGAAAGTTTCGAGAAAAGGAAAACGACAACTACACAAAATTGAGTTCTTTGGAATCAAAGAATTTTGAGGAACTAGTAAGCTTCGAGGAAGATGAGCTTAAATGTGTCATAGGTTGCATTTATATACTAAAAAAACTAGTGAATATTTTTGTTGGGTACTCTAAAATTTTATGGACATGTTATTTATTATACGTAAATTATTTAAACAACTAACCGACAAAATTTATAATTAAATTTTTTCTATTTAAAAAGTATTTGAGATGGTAATCGATAGAATTTTGCTATAAAAGAAGTAACTATATAAAACTAAATTTTATTTTTTATTATATTATTAAATAAAAGATAATTATGTAAAATTAATATTTTTTATATAAAATTTATTGATATAGTTATTTTTAATACTCGTAAAATATGTATGGGATTTTATAATTTAAACTTGAGAGTATTATCTTTATCCATTTTTAACACAAGTCAGCCTTATTTTACGTTGACTCCAATATGCATGTTTCTAAATCTTATTGGGCTATTATACTTTGGATACTTTTTGTGGATGTGTTATCCTGAGTCCTCCTGACCTTAGTATTTGGAGAACACACTCAGTGTTAAATTGTGGAATAAAGTAGTTTTTAATGAAAGGTTATGTCTTATCTTCTCTGCCTTTATAAATAAAAGTACTTCGGATGAAAAACTAATTTTAAATTAATATATTTTTTTAAATATCAAAATGTATTTTTTTAGAATCAAACATCTAATTAATATTATTAAGTGTAAAACTATAAAAATAAAGATTAATTATGTAGATATTCAATTGATATTTTAGCAAAATTTACTATTGTTTAAATTTGACAATTGTTTTACGTCTGTTAAATCAGTTATTTATTTAACTGATTTCAAAAATCTTATGCAAAATGTAGAATTATATTTTTTTTTATGAATCATTATCATTTTAAACTGTTGCAAGGTTTTATGAAAATGTCTCAAACTTTTGCATCAATTCATAAAAAAAATTTAAAATGTATTTAAGACAAAATACATCATAATTTCATTAAATCTCTTTTATATAAATTTTAATACAATTCAAATCAATTTTTAAAGTGTTTATTTATTTTCAAAAACATTTAAACTTTGTGCATAATTTTAAAATTATTCAAAAAGTTTTATAATATGTTACAAACATTTAAGGTTTATATATATTGTTAAATTGTATATTAAAAGGGAAGGAAGATTATTTTTTTAAAAGGGGAGAAAATTTATATATATTGTTGAATTGTATATATATTCTTGAAAATTATCAAAAAATTATTTTTTATACAAAAATATAATTTTATTGTAACTTGATCATCAAGTGTGTGGTAACAATTATTTGTAAATAGAAAGTGGTGTGTTTTCTAAGTGTAAATAGAAAGTGGAAGACTTTCTTGTTTTGTGATAATCATCATAGCGTTTGTGATTATTGGAGAAAGATCCTTTGAATTTATTTAATTCAAAGTGCACCATAATTATTTTTGTGGAATCAAGGAATGAGTGTACTCCTTTATTGTTGTTAGAAGATTGTAGGAGAAGTCTTGGTGTGGAACTTGTACAAAGATATAACAATAGTGAAATCTCTAACAAGATGTGAGGGGACTAGATGTACCATTGTTTGAAAATGAGAACTAGTAATACATCATTGTATTTTTTTCTGCATTTAAATTTTGTACTTTACTTCATAAGTTCATCAACATATTTATGGAAAAATAATAACATAAAATCATCTCTCTAAAATGACTGAAAAAAATCTCAAAACCTAATTCACCCCCTCTTAGATTGCACTTTATATTTACAATTGACATCATAACAGGTTATAGGTAACTTGCTCCTAATATCCAAAAAATTGCTTCCGTAAACCCTGTTTTTACAGATAGTGGTAGTAACAACAAGTCTCATTGCTTTGTATGAGAATACTATGATTTTTGGAAAATTCACATGCAAGCGTATCTTAAGGCACAAGGCGATGATATTTGAAATGCTGTTGAAAATGGTGCACACATTCCTAAGACGGACATCAATAATATAGAAAAAGTAAAAGTAAAAGGCTCTTGGAATAATGATGATGATAAGAAAAAGTGTTATTTGACAAAAAGGCATAGAATATGCTTCAATCAGAATTTGATATGTATGAGTTCTTTGGTGTCTCTCAATGTAAAACAATGAAAGAAATATATGACACGTTAGAAGTCACTCATGAAGGAACCCTGAAAGTGAAAATGTCAAAGTTGAACACATTATCTCAAGAATATGAAATGTTCAAGATGCAACCCAAAAAATCAATTCTTGACTTGTAGAAAAGATTGACACACTTGATGAACCACTTAATGGCATTCAATAAGACTGCTAATAATGAATTAAATCTTAAAGCACTCAGGTCATTAACAAAGGAATTATGTATTGACTCCTAGAGTTTATGTAGCGACTCCCAGACCTTATGTATTTACTCATACAAATTTGGAGTCAATACTTCCTATTCTATTTTTAAAAACTTGTAATTTTTGCTAAAAATATGTTTTGTTTATTATTTTTTTACACACACATATACATATACATATGCATTCATGCATCATTTGTAAACATTGAAACCAAGAACATAAAAATAATTTCCCATCATCTTCAACTTTTTTCTCTTCATACATTCAACAATTGTACATAATCATTTTTGTTGAGTATCAACTAGATTAGATTTATAAAATCCAATTTAGGATTGTTGTAATCAAATTGGGTTGAGTATTATTTGGGGGTTTCATTGATAAAACTGGTTAGTATTTTTTTCTCCAAGATCAGGGATTGATTTGGGGGGTTTTATACAAGACTTCGCAACGAGGATTCAGTCAAGTGAAAGCTTTGAAGAACAGAGTTATGTCAAAGGAGTAGTGATAACCGGGGGATTGACTTGGAACTCTTAGGTCACTTGATCTTGCTTAATATCAAGAGGAGAGAAGAAGTTAGAATCAACATCAAACATAGGGTTTAAGGGTTTGAATTGCTACTTTTTATCTTGTATACAACTCTTGCGAAGGTTAATTACATGTCTCGATTCTATTTTGAATTGGAGGCAGACGTACCCATAGTAAGGACAATTGGGGAACCACCTAAACAAATATTTATGTTCTCTCTCTTTACAATTTAATAATATACTTAGTGTGCAATTTGATAAGCTGAAAATATTGTTTTTTGTTGAAGTAATTCAAACTGTTATGTTAAGACAATTGCAATCTAAACAATTGCAATTGGTTATTCATATCTTCAACACAAAGGAAAACCAGCTTGGTGTTTATCGCACACCAAGTGTTTGATAAATTGTGTTAACTAATTTCTTGTTTCCTATTTCATTGGAAATTATTAGTATAGTGTGATATAGTTCAAACGTATTTTGTAAAACATATTGATATACTTTCTCATCATTGCTATATGTTTTGTTATAGTTTATACACATATATGATTCTTCCAATAACGATTCGAATAGACGAGTGTCAATCCGAAATAGCTTCTGCTTGTTATTGCAAATATTTTCCAAACCAGAACTTTTAATTAAAGAAAATTTTATTAGCGATCTATTCAACCCGCCTTCTAGAACGTTGTCATTGTCTAACATATAATAGTATAGTATGCCGACTGGGAGATCAAGAAAGTACTAATCAACCAAGGGAATTATGCAAACATCCTTTACTAGGACACATTCGAAAGGACCAGATTAGATCCAAACAAACTTTGAGCATTCCAAAGCTTATTTGTTGATTTCTCTGAGAGCATGTGCGAGTGAAGTATTATATCACCCTATGTACCTAAATTTTGACCTATCTTTTTTATGCAGGAATCTTTTACAATGTCAAACGCTTAGTGGTACCTTGATAGTGGATTAAAACATATAACTTGAGATAAATCTCTTTTCTCTTCCTTTACTCCTAGAAAGAGAGGATTTGTCACCTATGGTGATAACAACAAGGGAAATATAATTGGTATTGGTGTTGTTGGTAAGCTCTTCCAACGATTTGGGAGGTTCTTTTAGTTGATGGTTTAAAGCATCATTTACTAAGTATTAGTCAATTATGTAACGAAGGTAACAATGTAACATTTGATTCTTCTGGATGCAAGGTTATAAAATCAAAATCAAATCTAATAAAAACATATTTACTAGTTCACTAAGTGATAATACCTACACTGTGAATTAAAAAGAATCCTTTAAATGATGTTTATGTTCTGAGTAACGAGGATGAATCATGGATATGACATATGAGAATAACCCGTATCCCTATGGATAACTTAAGCAAGTTAGTCCGCAAGAGCTTCGTAATTGTTATGCCAAACTTACATTTTAAAAGTAATGATTTATGTGATGTGTACCAAAAAGGTAAACAAGTAAGGTCCTCTTTTAAAGCAAAAAAAAAACAAACATCATTTCTACAAACAACCCCTTACAACTTTTACACATGGATCTTTTTGGCCCATCCAAAACCTAAAATTTTGGTGGAAATTTTGATTCCCTCGTAGTTGTGGATAACTACACTCTCTATACGTAGAAATTATTCTTATCTCATAAAAGAGACGTGTTTGCTACCTTCTAAAAACTAATTAAAATTATCCAAAATGAAAAAGAATTAAACATTGCATCAATCTAAAGTGATCTTGGTGGGGAATTTCAAAATTTGGGGAAATGAAGAGTATTTTTCACATTTTTCCACTCCACTAACTCCCCAATAAAATGGGGAAATGGAGAGGAAAAATATATCTCTCGTAGAGCTAACAAGGATGATGCTTAATGAGACAAGTCTTCATTAATACTTTTGGAATGATGTAGTAAGTACTGCTTGCTACGTGGTGAATCGTGCCTTGATAAGATCAATTCAAATAATGCACCATATGAGTTATACAAAGGAGGAAAGCCAAATATTTTATGCTTACATGTCTTCGAAAGCAA